CCCCCAAAACCCCAAAACCCCAAAACCCCTTATTGATAAATTAATTGAAAAAGTAAATGGATTTTAAAGGGTATACTATGAAGCATATATCACCAAATCATTCTAACTTTCCTCCTCTGAGTCCAAACTCTACCTTCCAACACAAGGAGTTCAAGCCGAGAAGAATGCCTGAGCATATCAGGAAGAAATTAGTAAGAATTATCTTTGAATCGAGTTAATATTGAATAGAACAGCATCGTTCGGAAATAATCCTCAGCTAAAGCATAAAATTAGGAAGAGCCCAGTCCAGTATAATTCGAGGATTAATAAGACTGTTTACAATAGACCGAACTCTAGATCTCCTGGTTTTCAGCCATCACTTAAAACCAAAATGAAGAGAACAACAGTGAATAAGAAAAATTTCTTAGAAAATTTTAAGATCCAAAGAAGTGCCAGGAGTGGGTTAAAGAACAAAAATCCAAAGAACTCTAAGCTTTTTAGGCGAAGTCCTTACCAAGGAGTCAACGAGAAGGTAAGCCATACCTAGGTTGCCAAGGAAGGCATTATTATAATTGTGAAAGTGATCACTGTTTATACCTTCATATGTATGCTCACCAAGTTTGCTATCATTTCATAAATTGTGCTTCCTTTATTCCCAGTCAAGAAACCTTATTACTCATTGTTTTAAGAAATGAGACAAATGGCCAGTTTTAACCTTTGAGAAGTGCTTATTTATCAATATAGGCCAGAATGTTAAGCCCGAGGACATTTTTGAGCAAGGAGATAGCTCCTAGAAGGTTTAGCATAATGACTCCGAATAAGCTTCCTTCTAAGCCAAATAATATACCACAAGTTTTAAATAGAAATTTTGTTATACCCAGGCATAAAAAGTGAGGGCAAAGCCCACCTGTTATCAGATTAAAGAAATCTCCAAGAGAAATTGTAGGTGAATTAAGCCATTATCGAACAATTTTTGAATATTTTTATGGTCATAAAACCTCATTTCTCTTAAAATTTAAACCCTCCTTGAGATATTAGGCTTTATCTAATATTTCGAGGAAATTAGCAGTGTCTGAGGCTTTATAACGCATCTCTTATCCCATATTATGGAATGGTTAATATTACAAGTTGAAATTTAAATATTTTATGCTATAAAAATGTAACTTATATTGCCCAGAAAATTTTTCTAATGTGCACTAGTTTCTTTTCTCAATAAAAATCGTCTGAAGTTATTACCACTCTAGAATAATTCTAACATTATTGTCCCAAAAACTAATGCAAAGGTTAGACAAAATAGAGCAGGTTCTTTAAATGAGTATCTCGATTTCTTGGTGATAAATCAAAACTTTCCGATTATCTAACTAAACAATCAGTACATCTGGTAATGTACATGAAAATCTAGGCAGATGACACAGTTTTGCTTCTTGATAATAACTCTGCCGGCTATTTTCCTTTGAGTAGATTCCCTTTATAAGGTCAAATCATATATAATACACAAGGAGGTTTGAGGAGATGTAAAAGGTCTTCAATACCTGGCAAATTTCATAGGGATACTTAGCCAGATTTATCAAATAGAGTTATTAGTTTGTGTATTTTATAAAGTCTAAAAAGACGTAAGTTAGTTTCTTAAATAAATAATTCATAGCCGTATGAAGACTAGATCTGGTAGGAGAGTGAGGAAAAAGTAGTAAAAGACTCTCAAAAGTGTCACAAGCTTCGAAGTTGTATCTTATTCGATACTATCCTTAACCAGGACATTATATTTTATATTAAGTTTATGGGTCTATACTAAACTGTTACTCTTGTTCCTATAATTTCTGGGTTCACAATTGTAAAAACTCAAAAAATAATCTCAATAAAATAGGGAAAGGAGGTTTCATTAATATTTGGTGAATTTTCAGCCTGAAGAAAGTTACAACTGCGAAGCTTTAGTTTTCTCATAAAGTTTCATTTAGGACTTTATAAACTAACATTTTCCTGGTGGAAAGCAGATAATAATAAACATTAGCGCCAATCGTTCTTAATAGATTAGGAATTCTAATAAAATGTCAGATTTTTATATACGCCATTTTGAGTAAATCGTAATGGCAACATGGAGGACTTCATTTCTAATAGACTATTATAGAAACCAGTCTTCGAGGTTTATGAAAGCCCCAAAAAGCAGAGAAATAAATTTCCAGCTGAAAAATAGCACTACTAAAAAGTTATTTGATTATCTAAACGATAATTCAGATTCCTCCCCTGCAGCCTGTGCTCCTCCAGCTCATAAGAATGATTCACAGTTCTTCTATAACTTAACTAATTCCACACCTGAACCAAAGAAGAGAAAAGAAGCCAAGAGCAAATTTCACAAAAACACCTTAAGGTTCGATAACAGCTCTGATTTATCTTCTCAAAGCCAGTCTGGGCCTGAAGACCTATAACAATATATGAAAATCTGTAAATACTTTCGAACGTTTCAGTGTAAAATCTAGCCCAAGGGGTTTTGGGGTTTTGGGGTTTTGGGGTTTTGGGGTTTTGGGG